GGGCCCCGGCCGCGGGGAAAAGGGCTTCGCGCTGTTCTCTCTCTTCGACCGGGCTGAGTCGGGCTTGCAGACCTTTTTCATTGTCACCATAAAAAATGGGGATGAGGTGAAACAAAACTTAACTTTCTACTTAATGGGAAGCAAATACGGAGTTGTAATGAGTAAAGCGTTCTGTTCCTCCAATATTCCACTGAACGTGTAATCCAATCCAGCCTCCACGCTTGGAAGCGCGACTTGCATTCCGCACGCTTTCTAGGGCACAACAGTCGGCACAGGCTACGATTTGGAAACATAGATGTTAAACCGGTTCTTCTGAGGTCATTTATTTGGTTAGATTCCTTTTGAGTTTCTGTAATGTCTGACAAAATACGGAAACGTTCTCAGATGAAAGGTTACACACATTCCAGAGAAGTTTCCAGTGAAATCAAAAGGAACTCTCCTTGGGAATACTGTAAAAGTGCAAACTCTTCATTTATGCAATTTTAATATGGCGGAAATAAAGAAGTGTCAGACATTAAATCTGTTTTAAAGCTTAGGAAGCAATTTAAAATGAAATAACATACCTATTATTAATGAATAACTAAAGTGAAAAGTGTGTAATTACATGTTAATTAAGTTCTCTCCTTATTATATCTGCAGTGCTTCAAAATGGTGTTTTCTCTCTATGTATTCTCCTTCTAGCAAAATTTCCTGAAAAAAGCCATAGGTGTAAAGCAGAAACTGTTACATATTTCACAACTGGAAAAAGGAAAGAGAATGAAACTACAGCGATTTTTTTTAAAATTAGGATTTCTATTCAGAAATAAACTGAACTTCAACATATTTTAATTACATATCCTTCCGTTTATAATCTACTACTTAAGTCTAAACTAAATAACAACACTGGCAGAACACAGTAAATCTGAGGAACTGGGATGAACTATTTCTAGGTAAATGTTAAGAGAACCATTTTCCTTTATACAAAAATAATTACTTTCAGGCAGGGAGCCAGTCTTCTCTGCACACCATCCCCTATTGTCCAATTTCTGTAAAATTCAACACCACCTTTCTTATCTGGCTATTTAGGACTTTTTAATTTTTCTGTTCTCAAAGCATCAGCTTCTTCTTGCATTTGCAGCTTTTCATTTATCTCTGCCTGTGAAGAAAATCAGAAGAAAAAACTGGTTGCGACGGAGCTATCTTAGGCTGCACATTGTCTTTGTGGTTTTGACACACTGTAGCGCAGTAAGACAGACATTATCCTACACACCTTCCTGTTTTGCAGACATAACGGTGTTTCAGCCTGTTCTTACGTGATAACACTTTATCGTATTACTGTGCACAATCCCGATGCACGGTATGACTGCCATGAACAGGAAGTGATCTGGGACAGCCATTTCTCATGTAACCTTGTCTTGGGAGATAGGCTAATTTGCCTGTATTCTCAGACAGCCTTTACCAATAAACACCAAATCAGAAAAATTGCTTTGGGATTTGGTTGTTGCCACTGTTTTCCTTTGCTGCAGATGTTTGTTCTCTAGTGTAATATGTTTTATTGAAACACTGCTGGAATTAGAAAGCATTACTGAAAATTAACAATAAAAAAACATATTTCTGTGATGTTGCTTGTCTTTCTTAATTATAAACACAATTATGAATGTGTATCTCATTCTGGAAATCCAGACTGCTGTAGGCACTGAGTGCTTAATTTGCAAAGTAACATTTGTGGGGAAGGTACTAGGGTTGGGACATATTTTAGTGAAATCTTTGGCAGTGATAATCTGTAGCAGTTTATAATTCTACAGCATTTGGAAATGTGGGAACACTAGAAAAAAGGCCACAAATACTGGGGGTTTATGGGGAATTTATATATATTTCTCAATATCAGCATTCATCACTGCAAAAATACATGAGAAATGGAAGGAGTACAATGACAGTCTTTCCAAGAGTCGCAAAGTTTTGTTCAAACAACTGGAACGGGCTCAAAGGTCCTTTACAGACTCCACATAAACTGATGCAAAACTTTGAGTTACATGCTAATGGACTACATGTAATTTTGATAAAGTGAATGGATTTGGCCCAGAAAAGCTTGCAGTAACTTGCCATTTTAGGAACTTTTCAGCTTGCCAGTCCTAGAAATCCCTATTAGTGCTATACTGCAACCTATCAATGGATAACTACAGCTAAAATGTTTTCAATTTTCTCAGTACCTCAGATTAGCATCAAAAAACTGGAATTTCTACCTCAACTTTGTATCTTTAGGGATGGCCTTCACCATATTCAATCCATCCTCAAGCATCAACAAGTATGTCACTATCCCTTTACATTATATGTAAACTTAGCTGCTTTTGCTGTAGAACACTGATCCTCCAGGCGAATTCTCTCCCAGCCACCCCAGCTGCCTTTTCTTCTCCAGTTTTTATATCCCTCTTTCTCTGATTCTACCTTCAGTGAAAATCAGCTGCCACCATACTCACTATGGCTGCTGTTGTGATCACGGAGTGTCAGCACTGTAATTTCAGACTAAAAGTTATTTTCTAGACTCAACTAGAGCAAGAGATGCCTTATGTCCCCTGGAGACATAATGCAGATTGTGAAATCGCAGTTCACACATAACAACAAAATGGTATGAGTTTGACCATGTATCAGGTAAAAATCAAATCATAAGATTACCTCAGAGGTCAACAAACTGAGAAATCAGGTGATACATTGGTGGAGGACTTTTAAAAATGAAAAGGAAATTATTTTCTGTGTATGTAACCAGAGTTACAAAAGAAGAAGGAAAAAAGCATTTTTCTAATCTGTGCGGTTTTTGTAAAGAAAAAAAGCTCTTAGACTGATGCTAATGAAACCAAGGTCAAGTGAAAACCAGGCATTTCATTTTTTCTGTAGGTAGGGACAGGAATAAGACAACATAGGCCAGGTTCCCTCCTGTTTCTAAAGACATGTTGAAATGGAATATGAAAGCGAATAGATAGATCTAATGATGACATCATTATTCCAATTTATATTCCTCATTCATACCTAATCCATGTAAAGCAATTTATCAATATCACACTATTTTCAGACAGTATTAGATATTTAATAAACTGCTGCATGGTCAACCATGTCCAATGTGCTGCATCAAAAGTTTAAAGTGCCTAATGCCACCTGGTTGTGGCAAACAAGACCACATTCCACCAGTTCCTGGCTGGAACTGAGTCCTAGCTGGTTTGCTTTCAATAATTTCATATGCTTGAGGGAGCAGTTTACAAAATAACAATGAACTACTCTGCTGGCTTTCCACATGTTTCAATTTACAGACCTCTCTGTAGAGAAGCAGATCACCCTACAAGAAATTTAAGTCCACTGACAATAGTTTCCTTCCCCTTCATGAACCTCATGGAAAGAACTCATGGACTCCTCAGAGTCTGCAGATCACGTACTGAAACCTGATCTGTTCCATTAAGGCAACTCTTGTATAGTTATGCACCTACCCACTGAAGTCTAGAATTGGCATAAACGTGTTATTTCTTACACAGATTGGAGGATGTGCAACATAGATGCATCTAACAATTTGTATTAAGCATACATTGCATATGCTCCATCACAGCAGCTGATCCTGAAGCTCCGAAATGGAGTTTTATCACTGACACCACTGAGAGCAGGATTTGGCCCACGTTTCTTAACATACAGTAACGATGAAGGTATATGTTGTTATATTACTGAATATTTTTTATCTTATCACATGTAAGCTGACTAAACTAGGAGTTATTTATAGAGGTTAATTCACATTTTTACAGCACATGGATGTGCTTTTTGCCAGCTTCAGCATGAATACAGTTTATATTCATTAAGGATGAGCTAGCTAATTAACCATAGACAGAATTAGTGAATAGCTTTCTAGTAATAGTACCTCAAGGTTGCCAATAATTTCATTTGGGATTTCATCCACTGCAGACTTCTGATCTTCAGCAGCGACACCAGCCACAGCATCTGCCTCAAGGGACTCTACCTCTGGACAGGGCTCTTCCAGGTAACCCTCTTGATCAGACCCCTAGCAGCAACCAACCACAAGAAATACGTGAGTTAGAACATCCTCCTGCTCTCTACAAGACCAAACACTGTCAGCCTGAAGACACGCAATACAGGAAACCTGCTCTTGAGAACTCCTGCTCTGACAGAGACCGTCACTGCCTCTCTTTCACTGCCCAGGCCAGGCAGATCCTGAGGTCACAGGGAGAGCACAGAGGTGCTGACTCAGATGTCCTCTGTTGACTGATTAATGCATTAAAAGCAACTTCATTCAATCTTAGAAGAGAATGCATGCTATATTCTGGGGGAATAAATACCATTAGTGACCGGGATCCAATGGGAATCAATGAGGTAGAAGACTCATAGAAAAATAGCTTTAAAAAAAAAAAAAAAAAAAAGGAACAAACGTCTGTACCTTAGATTCTGTCTCTGAAGCTGTTGGTGATATTATGAATGACGAATAGATATCCGAAGGTACGCCTTCTTCCAGCAGAGCAGGGAAGGGGGGAACTGCAGGTTGCGCAAGTTCAATCACATACTGGCAGTATTAAAAAAAAAAAGGTAATTCAGGTTTAATTATTGCTCAGAGGTTTGTTGCAGAATTTTTTAAATGGAAATGAAATGGCTGGCAAACAACAAAAACCAATACCTTTTTTGTTACTATCCAGGTGCTCAGAACTGAGAAGCATGCTGAAAATGATTATAGATCAGCTTTAATTTCTAGCTGCATCTCAAGAGGCCCTCTTTATAATACTTGGAAAGAACAGATGATTTTCATAATTTCATAACACTACAGCTTCTTACTCATGTGGATAATTAAGTTTAGAAAACACAGAGCTTGGGTAACATGCAGTCTTCCCAATGCAAATTTGTCACTTCTGAACAGGGATCTTGTTGCATTTTGGAATTAAAGGGCCCAGCTGACCACCAGGGTATTCTTTCAAAGGAGTCAGCTGGAGTAAAGTTGTAGTGACACTGCATCAAATAAGGCCCTAAGAAAAATATTTTGATATGTGACTATAATTTAAGAATTGCTAACAGTCCAAGTTTTGCTGCTTAATCAACTTGCTCCCATTTCTCTTTCCTGTGAACATGAGAACCACACTGGTATTCTGCTGGCGTGTGAACTGCAGCTCCAGAATGCTCTGACAAGGAAATGGCTTTTCCCCCTCTGGAGTAGCTGGAAGTAGCACCTAGTCCTTGCTCAGGCTCTCGCAAGTGATGCAGAAGGCCGCCCTGTGTCCTCTAAAGGAACCAAGTTTTGTGTTTTGGGGTTTTTTATTGTTTGTTTGTTTGTTTGTTTTAAATAAATGACAGAACATACATGCTAAATAGGGTGACAAAAGGCATTTTTGAACAAGCGAGGAACCAGGTATAATACTACAACGGTATGTTTGGGGCCTCTACAATGGGAAGCTCCCACCAAGAATACCAGGCAGATGTTCCAGTTCTGAGTCAGCTATTACAAACATGATTTTGCTTGGATGGTGTAAGTCAACTACATTAATTCACATCAGGGTAATTGCAGCTCCCATAAATTAATTTCCTCATACCTGTGAAATCATAGCTAGGTTGATGTTTGGTTTATTTAGTTACGTGCTACAGTTAAACATGCTGGAGATATTAAAGGTCTTACACATTTGCAAAAGTGATAGCAACAATTGAAAATAAACAGTGAGACCTAGCCATTGTACTTTATTGCATTAAAAATTTCTTTTGTAGTCCTAAAAGCTTTTCAGAAGTTATGTTTGGACTCTGTCATTATCTTCAAGATTCCCTGTCATGCGTGAGCTCGCTAAAAAAGGTAGACAGTATTAGCCCATGTTTATAAGAACCTAAAAGGCTGACAGAAAGGTTTCCAGAATTTAAGTCAGGAGAAAACCAGATTTTATAGAAGCATTTTCCTGTATCACTTCTGACTCAAATTTTACAGCACTGTGCTAGTGCCTACAGACTCACAAAAGGAATAGTCAGAAAGTTTAGTTTTTGCATCAAAATGAAAAAGCCTTAAGTTGAGCTAAATGTTATTCTTTCTAAAATAAAAAGAAGCTTTGTTTTCAAATTCTATTTTTTTTTTAAACTACAGCTCTTTTGATTTAGCAAATATTTCCATTTTCTCTGATTTCTTACCTTATATTTTCTTATTAAAAACGTTAGCTGAATTGGATGAGAATTCACAATTACTCTCTGCTTCTTTAAAATAACATTTTTTTGGTTAGTTAGTTAACTATTCACTCAAAATATTTTCTTTGTTTAGATTAAATCATTATTCCGTTTATTCCCTCCAGACCAAATTTCAAAAAATGAAATAATGTAAAAAAACTGGACCGGGTTTTTAAAATCAATTCCTGGCTGATCAAATACATTTTTGTAGCATGGATAAGATTTCCAGAGGTTCTGTTTTAGAATAATATTTTTACTTCACTGCGTCCTTTTAAAGAGAACCATTCTTTACTCATCTGTTCCGTGTCTAATAATAACCCTTGGATCATTAAGAAATAACTAAATTACAGCAGAACCAACCTCTTTAATGAGCCATAATAGTCTCAACATTCAGCCAAAAGTTTTTTTAAAAGACTGTGAAACTTCAATCTAGAATATGAAGTATTTTGTTTAGTAATAATGAGTTTACGAGCAGTACTACAGTTTACAGCCAAAATATAGTGACCTAAAAATGCCATTCTGCATTGCTCCTTCCTATACATTGTGTCCTTAACAAGTCCAGGGGAAAATTAGAATGAATGAATTGTGGTGAACGCCCGAAGCCAACAAACGTATTGAAATGAATCCTTCTGATGCAATACTTTCCTTTAAAAAATACAATTAAGTCTTTGTATTTCCTTTGAACAAAACCTCATGTTTAATAGCACCAATGGCTCTGTAGTAAAATCTATTTAAAAACAGGGAAGGAGACACAGTAAGTTTTACACAGTTACAGTGGCTTTAAAAAACGTTGCTAGTTTCTGAAGTCTGAGTAAATTTATGGTGAATTACTTCCACTGACCTACATTAAAAAATCCATCCTCCTTTTTTTAATTCCTGAAGATTTGTCATTATGTGAGCATTATTCACTATGACAAAGATGTATTACTCAAAGTGTCCTCTTGAATCAATATAACTATCGAAATGTGAGAAACAGTTTGGCAAGATGATAATGCCTTAAAATTAATTGGCAATATTTTCCTGCACATTGCGGTCCAATGGGTCCATGAGAATTCAAACATAAAGAAATCGTAAGGCAATTGCACAAATGTAGAGGGCATATCAGTGTCAGCTGCAGATACAAGGGTGCTCCGAAAGAGACTGGAGGGAGCAGAAGGTAAATGCGATAGTCTTACTAATTCCTAGGTGCGGTGGGGTGCCAAAAGGCCACTTGAATCTGGACAAATTAGAGCAGGCTAGAGGCTGCTCTAACACTCAGCAGAGGTTAATGCGGGAAATACTCAGCGTCACCTTTACTTTCCCACCCCACCCTTGGCGTAGTCACAGCTGAGGACTGTAGCTGGTGTTCAAACATTGCTCTCAATGTACAGCCCCATGCCACGATTTTTCTCTGGAATTCTTTCTAGTAAAATTGTGCATAAAGAGAGGCAAGTATAAAAAGTGCCATGTTGTTCTCTACATAAACCCGCATACTTTTCTTGTTGTTGAGAGCTAGCAAATTACCTTTTTACAAATGTAGGCAGAGTAAAGACAATAAAATAGTATACAGGAAAATTTCTAAAACAGAATAATGGCAGGAAAGAAGATTGGTAAAGCATTCTAATAAACGAGTTCCACAGATGTGGTAGTTATTATAAAATTAGCTTTGCATAACTTACCAATATACCATTACATTTTCCCCCAGATGTTATCTGTTACTTAAATTAATTTTGCTTAAGTTATTATTATTGCAGATTTTATCCACACTGTATTTTATTATTTAAGTTTCTGTGGCATAAAACAAGCCCTGGCTGATAGCATTACTTTTAATAATGTATGTAAGAGGTTTTAGTATTATACAAATGGCTGCTGGGTATATCTTAATAGTCATAGCACAGAACGTCTGCTCTCAAAATATTATGTAGATTAAAACCAGTTATTTACTTACACTCTAATTCAAGTCATTGGAAAGGTTTGCAGTATTTATGTATGTGGTATGAAGGGAAACAATCTATTTGGGGAATAAATATCAGAGTTTGGAAATTAGCAAAGCTAAGGTCAAGGTCAGTTTGGATTTACTAACATACTTACTGAAAATTAGAATTTATAGTTTATGCTTACTTATTTCATAAATGAGAAAAGAGACTGAGGGGGTGGTGTATTTGCCTCTGATACAAGGCTTTTGTATCACAGAAACATTTTAAAATCACCTTTCCAGCTTAATATTATCTGAAACTCTCCACAGAGTCTTAACATAAATTCTCTGTAGCTAATCTTACCAAACATAGAAAAATAATTATTTATCAGGATTGGAAAAAATATCCCACGTTCAGTATGGACCATTTCTAAAGCCTTGTAACATCTTTCAAAGCCTTTCAATGGCCTTTCAATGGATAATGATTTGATTTTATATGAATGACAGATGCATTTAAAAAAGGGTGTTCTTTGTGTGTTATTTTCTATATTCATATCATCTGTGTAGTTTCTAATTGTATGCCAAAGGACCTTATGCTACCAGAGACCTGCACAGACTTCTCTCTTACATATGATCATATGCAAGATTTGCTACAAACCAAAATATTTATTACAGGATTTACATCAGTTTGCCATTCATGCTAAGCATGCCCAGCTGCACACCTACAAATGCGCTGAATTTCAGTTGCTGGAATAAAAGGCATTTACAAGATACGGTTTGTTAGCTGCCTGTATTTCATGTGGCTGAATTTGAATGAATAACTAATGGACAGAGATGCACTGTCTCACACTGACTCAAACCATCCTGTCTTTCCCCCCCACTCCCGTTTAACCTGCCAGCTGATGCAAACACAACAAATCCACCCTATATGACTTCTAAGGCATCGCCCACCAGTGTTCTCACAGGTGAGGAGGTTTCTGGGAGGCTGCTGATAGCTCTACAAATACATTTGCCATCCTGTTTTGCAGCAATGCTATACACAAGGTCCAAAGGACCAAAGGATATGATGAAGCACTCAAAAACTTAATCCAGATATATGATCTGTGCAGTGTGACTAAGATGGCAGAGCTTCCTTCTGAACGCCTTCACTGTACACGTTTGTATTAATATTTAAAGCAGAATTCAGATCAATGAGGGACTAAACTTGGCCTCTGAAGTATGTTCCCCAGTTGCTAATGATGTACACGGAAATTTTGTGTGCATGTTCCTGGGCAGGAGTTTTCAAACCACTATTCCTTAAATGAGACAAAAGTTCAGTAAGTCAAAGGTATACTTTATGCTCTTTTTCCTGCATTTCAGAATTCAAGTTAACATGCTTTAAAGAGAGTTTTCCATGTTTCTGAGCTGAGATGTGAATCAACTTTGTTGACAATACATCAGTAATTAATCTAGTCCAAAATAGCTATCTGCAGCAATTTGGT